GTCGGTATTATGTGGATACGGGATTTCCGATGTGTTGTTCATGTCCTGCTTTTACGTTGAGTGTGTCAGCGCTTTTCTGGAGTGGGTGGTGCGGCAGGAGGCGAGGATTGGCTCATTGCTGCGTTACCTTGATGGCTGTTGTGTGTGGGCCTTCGCTGACTTGTTGACTCGGCGGAGCTTTAGGGTCCTCTTAGAGCACGGTAAGACAGTGGGGCCCAGTGACGTGCCTTAGCTCCTTGGGTATCAAAATTGACTCTGTGGCCATGGAGTGCTGGCTGCCACGGGATAAGGTTGAGAGGGTGTGGCGATGGCCAGCGATCTGAGGAGGATGCAGCCGTGCGAGTTGCAGTCCCTGTTAGGGAGGTTGACCTTCCACTGCCGGATCGGGCCCATGGGGCAATTGTCTCGCAGGCGCCTGGTGGTCGCTACTACCGGGACCACGGCATTTTATCCGGCCCTGGAGGTCTGGGTTTCCTTTCTGATCGAGTATATTGGAAGGTCATCTTGGCAGGCGCCGGAGGTGTCCAGTTCGGACTTGCCCCTCTATACGGACGCGGCTGGCTCTGTCAGGTTTGGGCGATTCTGGGATCGCGCTAGTGTGCTAACGTGGTCGGCGGCTTGACCGGGAATCTTGCCTTTCTGGAGCTTTCCCATTGTGGTGGTTTTGGATTTATGGGTCGGGAGCTACAGGATAGTCGGTTGTTATTCACCGTGCCAACCTTGGGGTTGTCCAGGCGATTAGCCAGCTCTCGGCCCCCCTTTTCTCTTTTGGTACTTCCCCTGCTCTAGCGCCTGGTGCCCGGTGCCTGTGTCTTCATGTGTCGTATGGGTCCGGTTCCTCTTGGGCCAAGGTACTCCAGGGTATGAGTGGAATGGCAGACGCGGGAGTCAGAGGTGGGTGTATTTGCAGGTACGCCTGCTTGTTACAAGGTCTGTTGTGACTGCTGGAGCGTTGGGTTTCGGCGGATATGTCATCCTCCGGGGTGTCCTTGCGCATGTCCAGTTTAGTTTTCTGGTTAAGTCCCAGGGTTGGGTGGCGGTTACCATGGAGCTTCTGGTGTGGCATGCTGTGTAGGGCCCGTGCAGGGGTCGATTTCTGTGGATCCAATGCGGACGGTTTTGGGGGCCCTATGGGCAAAATTGTGCCAGGTGCTCCCAGAGGTATGCCTCGCCATTTCTTCATTTCTTTGGGGCCATGAGGATTGGGGTATTGGTGGGTCCGAACTGGTCAGCCTGTAGGTGAGGATTCTTTTTTCGGATGTCCGGGATGGTCAGGACCCGGTGTCCTTCAAGACTCATCCATACAAGACCGACATCCTTTGCAAGGGCAGGTGGGTCCCGCTGGCAGCGGCCCCAGGATTGGATGCCTGTCGGGTCTGGGCGCTCAGGGAGTCCGCGGTACAGCCGTACCTGGCTGGCCCGATCATGGTATACGAGGTAAACGTCCTCTCCCATTTTCAATTTGTATGGCGGTCATTCTTTCCGCATTGGCGCTGCGACGGAGGCCTCTCGGCTGGGTATGCTGAATCGGGATGTGCAGAGGATAGGAAGGTGGGACTCTAGGAGATTTGTTCCGGTGTGCGGGATGCTGGTTTGCTCCATTGATTGTTTTTTCCTTCTCGGCAGATGATTGAGCACTCGACGGTGGAGGACATGAAGTGGGTCTGGCTCCTCCCGTAAGTGGTCAGGTTCTCTTGCTTGCAGGGGGGTGTCATTGGTTCTGGTCATGCCCCCTGGGGGTGGTACTGACCTGGGGACGGTGCCGCTCAGAGACTGGGTGGACATAGGGAAACGGGACTTGTCCCAGATCCTTATGTCATTTCCGGGGGTTTTTTGCATGGTGTGGTCGGATGTTGTGGCGAGGAACTATTGGCTGCAAGCACACAGCTGGAGTGCGTGGGAGCGCTGCCGCGAAGGGTTCAACCGTGGGGTTTCGCAGTTCGTTATAGGGGTTTGGGGGATGCCCATTTCATCAGGTTTTGAGAAGGAGGCAGCAGATTTGTTGCGGCCGGACGGGGTTCATTTGACTGAGGTTGGGCTCTACCGTTTTAATCTGGCCATTCTAGAGGCGGTGGAACAGGCCATGGTTGGTTTGCTTGGGGTCCCCCACTGATTTTAGGCTTAAAACAGCAGGGTTGTGGAGGGGGTGTGTCCTTGCCAAATAAGGGATGGTTTGGTAGATTAGATGAAAAAGGGGGATAATGGCCGGGTCTCATCCTCCCCCTGTCTCTTATGGTGACCCTGGAGGAGGTACCAGGTTGGACGTGTCCCCACTGGGTTGTAAGTAGAGTGGGGAGCTTTATGTTTGGGCCCCACCGAGTTGGTGGGGAGCCCTGAAAAGGAAGATGTTTATATTATGCCGAGGGGGGGAGGTGAGAGCCTTGGGGAAGTTAGATTGGCAAGGACGGTTTCTTTGGTTACTGTATGACTATATGCAAATTGTTTATGTTAATTTATGATATTTATTATTTTGTTATATGTTAAAGGAGTCATACAGTATTTGGTTGTGTTAATAAATGCTGTGGCCTGTTTTCTCCAAGAAGTTGTCTGTCGTTATTTGAAGGGGTAAGTTATGGTTTTATGGGGGATGAAGGGAATGCTATCCAATGCCCACTACGTACATACATGGTGCCTCATTAAGCCTCAGGTGCCAGTCCATCACTGTTTTTTTCTGGGCCTAGTCTATTCCTGCATAGTTCTGAGGTCCTCTGATAATCTACTGAAATTCTAAAAAAAGAACGACATTTTGAGAGATGGTTTTGGAAAATATATTACTATTCTCAAGTATAATACTGTGAGTATTCCATTATGTGTATTGCATATTGAATGTTGGATAAACAAGATCATTGATAGCTAGTAATAGATCACATATTATGCAAACTGTTAATATAATGAAAAATGTCAAAACAAACAATCAATATCTCAACAACAACCCAAAAAATGTAACATTTTCTTCTGATCCATTCATCCGATAAGTTTTCTTGGCACAATGATGAATGCAAAGAAGAAATAATGAGGAAATGAAAACATTATTGCTAAAATTGAGCTACTGCTGCTGCATACACTACATAGATTTGCTGGGCTTAAATCTGTTGCTTCTGTTGGTTGGAAAGAAAGAACTGCCACTGTCAATTACAATTAGGCATTGTGTAATAGTAGGTAGTAGTCGAAAAGCTAGCACTAAATCTATTGCTTTTATAAGGCTGAACAACACATTATCCTTATTTCACCATTAATAAACGGTTTAAGGTACTGCTGAATCTGCCTAGCTAGCTAGCAAGGAACACTATAGCATTAGGAATACACATGTATTCCTAAGTCTGTAGTGTCCTCCTACTCATTTAGGTTCGGCCAGTGATGGCACTGAGCCAATCAAATGTTCACTGGGGAATTGCATCAATTGGCTCTCAGGAAGACATCTAATAGAGATGTGCTGAACCCTGCAGTGAAAACATTACGGTTTCTGCAAACTGCAGGGTTAAAACTAAAAGGACCACTGCACCCAGACCATATAATTGAGATTAAGTGGTCTGGGTGCATTTAGTGGTCCTTCAAAATTACATTGAGTTGGAGATAGGAGATTGCCACTGTGTCATGGATCCTCGTGTGAGACTAGGTTTAACGTACTGCTTTATCTACTTAGTTAGCAGTTAGTAGCACTTAAAACAACTTTGAGTAGAAGAAAGGAGATTGTCTTCACATCATTGATTCTAGTTTGAGGCTAGATTACCAATGTAACCAATTTATGGTTTTTAAAATTTTTTGTATTAACTGTTTGTAGAAAGAAAGTCTTTTTGCGAGTGAGGTTCAGTTAAAAAAAACAAAAAAAAAGGCAAAAGTTCCTCTTGCCTAAATATGCCACATTGACATATCTTTGAGAGGTAGATAGCCTGCTTCATTCATCCTAACATGAGACTGGCGTGAGGCTGGTGGTTACAGATAGTTCAGTGTCCTACTACTAGCCATCACCACTTAACACCAACTAGGAATCATTGATTTACAGTTCAACTGTTTTTTTGTTTTATTTTTGTGCTTACAGAATACAATTTTTTTTTATTTTTTTTTAGTTCAGTTCATGGTGTACTGGGCAAGTGTGCGAGCATTGTTCTGTGTAGTGTTTACTATAGTCAAATACATTAACATCACAGTAGTAAATCTACCAAGCACCAGCCCATTTTGCAACACACATACCTATTTTTGCTGAATCTTTTTATGCTAGTTTACACAATAAACAATTATTTATATGCCACATATATTGTGATAAGAAAAACCAACCCACCATCATCAATTTTGCATCCAATTGCTGACAAGTGATTCACAATTCACAGTTAGTAGAATTCTGTCTCTGGCTAGTGTGATTAGTAGCATGTCAGTTATGTTTGCTTTACTGCCCAGGAGGCAATTGGATTTTTCTCAGCATTTTTATGCTGCAAAGCTGCTGCTTCCACTGGCACTAAAGCTCCTTCTTCCGCAAGTAGTACAGCTTCTGTGTTCTATGGTAATTGGTGTAAGGAATCTTTGAAACCAGTGGACTTGTTACCACTGCCTGTGTTACCCGACTTAAGTAACCAAGAAAATGCTTAGTAGAGAGTGGCATTGGAGCTACTCTTTAATGAAGTGGTAGATCAGACTACCCAAGCAGTGTCCATAATGTCTGGTCTTGGTAGTGGTAAGGAATCTGGTGATGATTATATCCCTCTTTCTTCCACCACTCCAGACACTTGTTAAAGTTTGTCCCTAGAGGGAATTGACTATAATACAGAGACATTAGAAGAGAAGATGGAAGATGAGAGCAGAGGCACAAATCTGCATGTTGAGTTTATGACCACTAACAGAGCTGCTAACATGGTCATAACAGGGTTCCTTTGTATATGTGCTCTGTTCTGCATAATCCTACATCTTGTAGTGAAGTAGTGAAGTGCAATTGTGGAAGCCAACACAAAGGTACAGCCATACTTGAGTGTTTCAGGCATTTTCACTGTAGTGTAATGAGCTAGTCAGCTCTTAAGGCAGAAGCAACATAAAACAGGGCTTCCCACACACTCTCTATGAAAGGAATTCAGCATGTGATGGAACTCTATTTTAGACAGAAATACACCCCGTGGGGAAATATAGAGAGAAGGGTGGTAAAACACAATATAACATACAGAGGATACAACCTTGGAATCAAGATGAGATATTGTGCGAATCTGAGAATTAAAAAAAATATATATATTTATATATATCACACATAGTGAAGTATGCAAAGCTAGAAAGCTAACTCCAGGAGGTAGAGAACTTCCATAAAAATAGAAGATCTGTGCATGTCCCCCGTGAGGGGTATCTGTGGATGGTGGAAATCCTCCCAGATAGAATTACCCTCAAGAGGACAAAAGAGTGCTAATAGTATAATACTATATAAAAAAAAAAAAAAAATTGTAAGTTTTTTTTGTAAGTTCTATTTTTTTTCTCTACCTCCTGGAGTTAGCTCTCTAGCTTTGTATACTTCACTATATGTGATTTTTTTTATTCTCAGATTCGCACAATATCTCATCTTGATTCCAAGATTGTATCCTCTGTATGTTATATTGTATTTTACCCAGGCCCGGACTGGCCATCGGGCATACCGGGCAAATCCCCGGTGGGCCGCGATGGCCGTGGGGCCGAGGCCGGCAGGGAGATCACAGGATCTCCCCGGCCGGCCCCTGCAGGGCCAGCGCTACCCGAGCGCCGGCCCCGCTGTGTGCCTCCATGGGCCGGTGGGGAGATCAAAGATCTCCCTCACCGGCCCACAGACAGGGAGATGCGGCCGCCGGCTGGGTGAGGGAGGGAGAGAGGACCGGCGGAGCTCTAGCCAACAGCTCCGCCGGGTCCTCTCGCGAGATTCTGAGCGTTGCCGCGGCAACGCTCAGATCTCGCGAGAGTGAACTCTAACCTTCACTCTCACCACTGGACCACCAGGGAATGCAGCATGGTCCCCTCAAGGCTCCCCTCCCAGGCAGAACGGCTCCCTCCCCCTCCCAGGCTAAAGGTAAGAAGGGAGGGGGGGGGGACATAACTTTAAAAAAAATTATTAATTAAAAAAAAAAATATATACTTAAAATTAATTCCCAAACAGCACCCCCAGACACACACACATACCCCAGACACACACAGCCAACTCACAGCACCCCTATTTTTACACACAGCACCCCAGACACACACTGCACCCCCAGAAACACACAGCACCCTAGACACACACACAGCACCCCCAGACACACACAGCCAACTCACACACAGCACCCCCAGACACACACAGCACCCCAGAAACACACAGCACCCCAGACACACACACAGCACCCCCAGACACACTCACACACAGCACCCCCAGACACACACACACACAGCACCCTAGATACACACACAGCACCCCAGACACACACAGCACTTTAGATACACACAGCACCTCCAGATACACACACAGCACCCCCAGACACACACACAGCACCCCAGATACACACACAGCACCCCAGAGACACACACAGCACCCCCAGACACACTCAGCACTCCAATTTTAAGCGCACCCAAACACACACAGCGCACCCAAACACACACAACACCCCAGACACACACACACACACACACACAGCACCCTAGATACACACACAGCACCCCAGACATACACAGCACCCCCAGACACACACACAGCACCCCCAGACACACACAGCACCTTAGATACACACAGCACCTCCAGATACACACACAGCACCCCAGATACACACACAGCACCCCCAGACACACACAGCACCCCAGAGACACACACAGCACCCCCAGACACACTCAGCACACCGAGAGACACACATAGCACACATATATACACATATATATATATATATATATATATACACACACACACTACAGCACCCCTCACACTGCACCACTACACACATTACGCTCCAGATACTCGCTAGATCCCTTACCCTATATGCACTCTTAATCCTCTGCACACACAATCTTCTATACACACTCTGGGTCCTTTACACACTAGATCTCTTACACACACAGTGCACCACCTACACACACACTACATTCCTTGTAAGGAAACACATACAACATTCTCTAAACACACCCTCTCTACAACCCCTACACACACTACATCACCTATACACACACTACTGCCCGTATGCACACACTCGCTACATCCCCTATAACACTATGCCCCTATACACACACTCTACAGCCCATAGCCACACATATTACACCACACATATTACACCACACATATTACACCTATTTACACAATACCACACCACACTCTACACACAGGCAATCCCACAAGCAGGCGCCAAACACATGCACCATACACTTTACTGGCCCTTTTGTCCTCTGGTATCCCACTTGTGGAGACACCAGACACAATTTAAAAGCAAACACAGCGCAAGCATGTTATTACATTTGCTTGCGCTGCGCAGAACAAATACAGGGCCTTTTTCTAAAGCCAGAGCTCTTCAGCGGGGCTCTGCGCATTGAACCAACATGCTCACTTTGAGAGGGGGCGTTCTTGTCATTAGTGATGACAAAACACACCCTCTCTGGCCCCGCCCCCTTCTTGGGGGGCCGCTCTAATTGAAAAATGCCCGGGCCTAATTTTTTTCCCAGTCCGGCCCTGATTTTACCACCCTTCTCTCTATACTTCCCCACGGTGGCATATTTTTGTCTTACTATATTGTGTGTGTGTGTGTGTGTGTGTGTGTGTGTGTGAGAGGGAGGTACACTTTGGGTAGGGTGGCTGCACTGATTTTTCGTGTTTTAATATAGTACATATTTTATTGATTCTACTTTAGACATTGTCAGTTTTTATT